TATTGGTTCTACAAACTGATACTGAAACTGAAACCCTGGGAATAGTAAGAATAAATCGTGCACAATCGTAGCACATCTTTGAGTATAAGTACGGGTGTGGTACAAGTTAGTTTTACTTTCAACCGGTGATCTTTTCAGAATTTATTATTAAAGTTCGATCTAAATAAACGTTTAAAAATTTGTAGATGGCTTCTATTTCCTATTCCATTCCGTTGTAACATTTATGAACCTGTCGCACGAGGCTGGTAGTGAGAATGCTGAGCAAAACGTATTGGGATGCTTGAACATTTTCATTTCTTACAACAAAATTAGCCATACATTTTCTCGAAATATTCGTCACTGGCATTCATGCACTTTGTTCCATGCGCTCAAACCGTTTGATGAAACAGTTTGACCATGCCGAAACAGGTAACACATCAATCGTTATGGTGGCCTCTATAGGTCGACCACACCGTGTCTCATCATACAGAGACCGTGTACAACGGTTGAATTCCGCAAAACAGTCAAATACAGTACTTATGAAATGGCCTCACAAGCACCGATTATGTCACCTCCGCTGACGATGAAACGTTTGCAAACAAATTGCCAAGCTCGTCGAAAGCAGGCGAAATAGAACAGGTAACCATAGTTGTCCACAGCAATCGTGATGGAAAATCTGTCAAATAGCAGTAGTCGATTTCTCTCTCTCTCTCTCGTTACAAGGATTAAAATTTCGGGGCAATGGGCTTCTTCATTCATTTTTAAGTAATGTAAAATAAGGTGTTCCACACTGAGTGATGGGATTGCTCTTGTATGTATGGAGTATTGTGTATAACTTTTGCAAGCACTGGAGTTCACATTTCAGTAAGAAAAAATCATACACGCCAAACCGTCACAATGTACAAAATAATCTGGGAGAAAATGTTCACAGATATGGGGACATTTCATAATCCAAGGTTAAGTCAAAGTTCACTTATTGTCCGCTCTTTGTTTCTGAATAAACGAGCAAGATAGGTGAATTACGGTAAGCGTTAATTCCAGATGAAATTTGGTGGAATCGGGAGTGTATGGGAGGATGGGATCGACAATGTGTCAGTTCTGCGTGCAATTGGTGGTCAGGATCTGTGAGAATCCTCTCAGCGAATTTCACACGGGAAGTTGTGATACTCTGAAAGCCTTAAAGCTAATTCATTCAGAGGAATAGAAGAGACACGGCTAATAATAGTTAGACTGTGGCGTAAGACTATGAAATTATGCTTGATTAAGCCTGGAAAAATAACTGGGGTCCGTAATATACTCTCATGACTCAAAAAGATGGCTTTCACCAACACATCGTTGGAGATTAGAGCATCACCAGTGAACGCGTTTTTTGCTGATAGATCAGGTGCTGCTGTCACCCGATGCAAAAACGATCAAGTTCCTTGGGGAAAATGTCTCCTCGTATTATCCATTCTTCAAGTAGTTGGAGAGATTTGTGTGCAATGTGCGCTGAGCTTACGAAAGTTGGTATTGCCATATCGATTAGAATCCGATTGGCTGTTCTCGGATTTTCCATTTTGCCAAACGAAATCAGGCCCATTTCCTCATGTGCATAACAGTGAATAAGCTAATTTGTATTAGCCATCTAACTCTCGGAAGTACTAGGTCGTCATGATTTTCGCTTGATGTAAATTAATTCCAATACTGTATGGTTGCCTGTTTACGGTTTTCAAATCGGGAACTGGAGAGGCTTTATTATTATTATTATTGTTATCATTATTATTATCATTATTATTATTATTATTATTATTATTATTATACACCAGTGTGTGATAAACAGCAGATGGGACGAACCCCATGGTCACGAGGACCTGCTACTCAGTGATCGCAACCAGCAACCCACTGCCCTGGACGACTTGGAGTGGCGAACTACTTAAGCCCAGCTGGGTCAGGCATGGTTTTGAACCGGACGACAACAAAGCTGCCAACAACCAGAGGTTTACTAGTAAAGATCTTGTCTTCTTTCATTTAGCCTTATACAAACAGAACCATGAACCACGCGAATGTGATTGTTTGCGGTTCAATCCCCGTTCACAGCTGTCCAGCCACGACAAAGAGATCTCATTCAGCATCAATCACCAGTGTGTGCGTGAGCAACTTTAAAAACAAAAAAAACACGGAAATCAATTGTATTACTGTGCTGTCTAAGGTCGGACCCTGGTGAGGGAACTAGTTTCGCGTATCAGCGTCATTTATCTTCCAGGATCTGGGATGACTTGTCACCTACTACCTACTCGTGGTGGCCGCTGTTCACCTACCCAACATATAAGCACCACGTAGTACACAGTGCTACATACACAAACATACACGATAGCACTTTCAACCGGTATCTTGCGCTCACGTCTTGTGTGTGAGCGCCGATCTCACCCAAACACCGGATCGGGGTGCGGAAGCCGCAGTGTTATCTGTCTGTTCCTCATGGGATGGATCATCGAACACACACAAACACACAGACACCAACACGTAGAAAACACGCTCTAATCCTACTGTCCACGCTCGCATTGCGAGTGGATGGCACCCGGGGTCCGAGCCACATTTGACACACTTGACCCTGTTTCCTGACGGCGTAATCCATGAGTCATTGAATTTTACCTAGTTCGAATATCAATAACCCATCACATTGTATACCGTGTTCACAAGACGTCGACAACCGTTAGTAATACCTTGTGTACAAGTTTCAAGTAAACTGAAAGAGTATGAGTGCCGGTCAAGCATACATGTTCCAACAGTCACTCCTTGTCCACATGGTACAATGGAAGGGAACAAGAGAGCGCGCAGCTGTAATTTGATCCGAGTCCAAAAGGGAATATCTGAGCAAATAAACCTAGCAAACAGAGATTAATGGACGGGCCATCGCAATCGGTTATTTCTTGGAACAGTAGATGGTAATGATAATACGAACAATAAGAAATAATCGAGCTACATAATATATGGTCGGGAGTGGTTGTCTTGGGTTGCTGCTGGTCATCCCTCCCTCCCGAAGCGTCCCAACTAGTCTCTGCTGAGGAAGCCTTACTCACTGGCTTCCCATGGTGGAATTATGTACTTTCCCAACCAAAATGAGAGGACGAAAAGCCAACAGCCGGGGCTGTAACCGGGTCGGTGAACCACTGGTAGTTCATTTAAGGAATTTGGTTGAAACCCTGTTTCCAAACCAACCATGAGGAGGTGTATGAACTACACTCACCCACACCTTACCGATTGTGGTAGTGATCATCGGTTCGGTTGGGCATCGGGGTGCATTCGGCACCTTGGACACTTGACTACATCCAAAGGAAATATGATCCAATGAACTGGACACCGGCCTCAAACAGACTGCGGTTTTCACATATCGCCCCACTGCCTTGAGGATCAGGCTTTCGTAAATCGACGGCTCCGGTTGTGAATTCCCTAAGAACATTCATCTACTTCGGTCTGAGCAATCTGGCAGTATTCGGCTTACATACAAACCATGGAAAGATTTTCAGTATTATAAAGATTTGAAAAGAAAAGACCAAATTGCAATACTGC